TCAGAGGAAGACAGCAACCAGAGATGCAGTGGAATGTACCTAAAAAAATAAATTATAGAAATACCATGACCACCGACCATTACAGGAGGATCTGATGGTTTTATTAAACTGACATTTTTTTTGTTTTTGTTTTATTAAAGGACAAAGAAAAAATTCTTATTACAATGATTTACCTTTGATCACTGATGAAACATTTATTTTTTAATTAACGTAAGGAATGCTCTGTTCCAGTGATGACAAATAACTCTACGAGATTTGTGACTAAATATTTTGCTAAGTGTCGTCATGTTTGAGGTATTCATTTATTAAGATCAGTGACTCTTGTTAGTTATTGCATACCTTATTTATTGTCACACCTGCCCTGAATTTGTGATTAGCACATCTGCCCCTCATGTTCATCATTATCCAACACTTTACAGCTTTAGCTTTCTTTGAAGCAGTGTCAGATCCTTGTGTTGTCATGGTTTACTGCTGCAGACCTATGGTTACTAAGTGCATAAAATGTATCATTTGCAGCTGCACAAAATATTTACTGTAGATCTTGCATGTCTGAAACAGATAAGGCCACAGAGTTGGTTCACTACAGCGGGTAAAATAATTTTGAACATGTCACCATTTTTCTCAGTAAATATATTACTAGAGGYGCTAATGACATGAAATTTTCACCAGWTGTTGGTAACAACCCAAGTGATCCATATATACAAAGAAATAAACCATAAATGTCCAGAAATGAAGTTATTTGTAATAATGTGGAATGGCACAGGGAAAAAGTATTGAACACACTTACTGAAATTTATCTAATACTTTGTACAAAAGCCTTTGTTGTCAATGACAGCTTCAAGACGCCTCCTGTATGGAGAAACTAGTGGCATGCATTGCTCAGGTGTGATTTTGGCCCATTCTTCCACATAAACAGTCTTCAAATCTTGAAGGTTTCGTGGACCTCTTCTATGAACTCTGATATTTAATTCTTTCCATAGATTTTCTGTTGGATTCAGGTCAGGTGATTGGCTGGGCCATTCCAGCAGCTTTAGTTTCTTTCTCTGAAACCAACTGAGAGTTTCCTTGGCTTTGTGTTTGGGCTCATTGTCTTGCTGAAATGTCCAGCCACGTTTCATCTTCATCATCCTGGTAGATGGAAGCAGATTTTTATCAAGAATGTCTCTGTACATTTTTCCATTCATCCTTCCTTCAATTATTTGAAGTTTGCCAGGACCATATGCTGAAAAACAGCCCCACACCATGAAGTTCCCACCTCCAAACTTCACTGTTGGTAWGGTGTTTTTGGGCTGATGTGCAGTGCCATTTGACCTCCAAACATGATGTGTATTCTGGCATCCAAACAGTTCAATTTTGGTCTCATCTGACCAGAATATATTCTCCCAGTATTACACAGGCTTGTYTAAATGTTGTGCAGCAAACWTTAAAGGAGCTTCAACATGCTGTTTCTTCAGCAGTGGAGTCTTGCATGGTGAGCGTGCATACAGGCCATGGTGGTTCAGTGCRTTACTTATTGTTTTCTTTGAAACAATCGTACCTGCTAATTCCAGGTCTTTCTGAAGCTCTCCACAAGTGGTCCTTGGCTCTTGGACAACTCTTCTGATAATTCTTTTCACTCCTCTGTCAGAAATCTTGTGAGGAGCACCTGGTCGTGGTCGGTTTATGGTGAAATAATGTTCTTTCCACTTCTGAATTATGGCCCCAACAGTGCTCACTGGAACCTTCAGAAGTTTAGACATTCTTCTGTAACCGATGCCATCATTATGCTTTGCAACAATAAGGTTGTGAAGGTCTTGAGATAGCTCTTTAATTTTACTCATCATCAGATGTTTCTTGTGTGATACCTGGCCATCATTTGGGACTGAACCAGCTGATATTAACTTGCACTGACAAGGGGCAGGCTTGCTTTCTAATTACTGAGAGAGTTCAGCTGGTGTCTTGGCTTTCCATGCCTTTTTACACCTCCCTTTCTTCATGTGTTCAATACTTTTTCCCTGTGCCATTCCACATTATTACAAATAACTTCATTTCTGGACATTTATGGTTTGATTTCTTTGTATGTATGGATCACTTGGGTTGTTACCGACATCTGGTGAAAATTTCATGTCATTAGCACCTCTAGTGATATATTTACTGAGAAAAATGATGGTATGTTCAATACTTACAGTATTTTACCTGCTGTATACACACCAGCATGATCAAATTTAGTTTCTTTCTCATATAATGCAAAACTGTTGACTTTGTGGTTTTAATACAAAGCACTGAAAAGATCTCAACCAAGAAAAAAGACACTTGGGAAGACTGGTTGGCACTTTTCCATTATAGAAAAGATCAAGATAGTGGGTGAGAGGATGAGTGCTGCAGATTTGGAACAATGATGTCATTGGTTTCTTAAGTGCCTGTGGAAAGAGGCCATATGTGCTACTGGGACTGTAACATGAACACAGCTGCTCAGACTGACATGATGCCTTTTGTCTTGGTGAAAATAAGTGAGATGATATCAAACCCACAAGGGTCTCACCAGCAAAATACATGAGGTTGACWCAACGATCTCCTACAAGTGCTTGTTTTTGACTGTGGTCAGCTGGAAAACATTTACCCCTTTATTTAAAACGTGTTCTTAAAAATTCCTAATCTCAGTAAATAAAACAAGGCCGCTTTTTTTTATTTCATCAGACATTAAACAGAGACCAGCAGAGGAGGGAGGGGGCAGGGAGGCTCTCGACATGCTGGAYGTGTGTCGAGAACTTCAAGAGCAATTCTGACTGKTATCTGACCTCAAAATGCACAAGCGTCCAACTTGAAGCATTGGACGCGATTTTGACGCTGAAATCACGTTTGGTGTGAACGCAGCATTAAAGTAGGCTAACTCCTGTACAATGGTGAGCATGAGAATTTGCTAATAAACCAGCAGGCACAACAGTGGCTTTTGTGATGGAAGTAAAAAAGTATTATCTGTTACCTTTTTATTAAAGAAAAAAAAATCATGTCCCTTTGAGGGTTCCATACAATTGTTTTACTGCAGTAAYGGATTATTTCACTTAATTTGAGAAGATTCAGACTGTATAATCGAATTTTGTGTACTTTGAGTGGAGACACTATTCATTTTCCAAGAATCAAACCAAATTGCTACAGTGCACACAAAGATACAGATTCTTCTGTTAATTTATATTTTCTGCAATGAACAATGGAAGCTTACACTGTGCAACTTTTTTGAATGTCTTTTTCTTGTCAAGAGTCTAACACCCCTGATAGCTGCTGGTAAGAGCAGAACGCTGTGCTTACACTGTTAGCTGCTCGCTGTTGTGCAAATGTAAAGACAAAAATACACAGACACAACTAAAAATACCAAAAACATCAAATAAACTCGGTCCTAAAATTCAGAAACTTACTGTACATCGAAGAAATATTTTGTTGTTGAAAAACATAACTGGTTAAACAATCCTGGAACAATGTAGCAGAAAATAAAAACAGCTGTGATGCATGTGACTTTTAAAATAACTTTTTTCTGGTCTCTTATTGTCCCATTTAAAAGTGTTTTCTTCAAATGTTGCAGGGGCTATAGCAGTGTGGAACAGTAATGAACCAAACAGCACTGTTCTTATCTTTGACACAATACTGATTTTATCAATACATCAGTAATTGACAGAAACTTACACAGATAAAGAACACAAAAAATATGTGTGAGTGTATATATATATATACACTCACCGGCCACTTTATTAGGTACACTGCGCCAGTAACGGGTTGGACCCCCTTTTGCCTTCAGAACTGCCTCAATTCTTCGTGGCATA